CTTTATTTGAAACCTAAAAGCATACTATGTGACAATCCATATTATTTTATTGTTTTTGTCCATTTTTTTTATGTGTTTGTAGATGTATATATTTTACTTTAAATGTTGTACATTTTATTTTATTTAAGAAAATTATCATTATTACATTTTGTAGACAAAATTCCTCTTATAACGTTATTATTTTATAACTCAATCACAATCACTATTATCATAGACCTACACCCATCATATCTTTTTCTCATTATTTAATTATCATTTCATTAAAATTATCATATCACAATTAATTTAATTGAAGATTATATTAAAATTTAAAAAAAATATCTATGAAATTGCAAGATATAATTTAAATTAATTTTTTAAATTTTTTATTTATTAATATTTTAATATTTGACATGATTTTCGTGCATCGTAAATACAAAATGATAATACAATTATAAATATGGGTTTAATTTCTAGATAGTGCTTTGCTTACTCTGTTGTGACAATGACTTTGCGCGTGAGCATTAAATGCTAATTATCATTGTATGAGACCATCATTACCTCTTTTCAAGGGTGTGAATGGCAATCTAGCGTACCGTGACATATTATATTATATTATATTTTATTAAATTTTTTTTACCCATATTCTAAACTATAATCTACGAAAAATGAGATTAACATGATTCTTTTTTTAGTATTTGAGTTATGGTGAGAGAGAAGATTAAATATATCTACATCCCACAAACATAATAGGAGTTAATACTTAAGAAGAATAATAAGAGTCAATAAAGTTAGATTCCTAACGAAAAGTAAAAAATAGTCTGTAATTGTCTGTTGAGATGAATAATTCATATTATTTTAATTTTAATATTATTAATCTGCTAAATGAACTAATTAATTACACTTTTTTTCTTTTTGTATATATTTAGTGTTTGAATGGAGTAAAAAATAATAATTAATTAATGGCTCAATTGCATTATTATAACTATTTTGAGTGCTTATTTGACACTTATCTCTATTTTGAAAATAAGTTTGAATCATAGGAATTTAAAAAGAAAAAAAAAAACAAAAAAACAAAAAACAAATTGCATGATATATAATCGGAGACCCCAGTTTTCAAAGTAAAAGAGTATTGCAAAAATGAACAAATTATATCATGGACCATAATTCATTATTATAATATTGTATGTTCATTAAAAAGTATCATTGATTATGTTTCATTATTATAATATTGTAGATTTAATATAATAATATTGTAGTTCATTAAAATAACATCAATTTGCATATTACAATTTACACATATTACTCTGTATTTTTTATATAAATAAAATCAATGTTACAAAATATCTTATTAAAAGTATCTCATTGAGATATTTTGGATGATAAACATAATACTATATTTTTTTAATATACTTGCAATATTGATAAAATAAACATTTTATATTGTGAAAATGAACACTCAGTATTCTTTTTATGAACCTATTGTAAGTTTGGTATTTGCAATTTACAATACTTTGAGAATGAATATAATGTAGTGAGTTAATAAATGTAAAGATTTCATTATCTAATCAATCTCAGGGAAAAAAAAATAATATTTCAAAATGAGAGTTTACAAGATCAAATGAACAGTTCACATATAACAACAATTGAGGTTTCAATCATAGACATAAGGAAAAACATATGAATTTATATGTTATAACTTAATTGTATAACTCTTTAATTACTATTCGATAACATAAGTGAGTCTAATATAACCATGTTACTTTTAACAAAAAATATGTTTAAGTTTTACTAATTCATCAATATTGTATTAATGAGACTTAATTTGTTTTGTTTTTTAATATGAAAATTGTTAGGACATTATTTGTATTCTTTATTACAACCATCTACGACAATATTCATCTTTACTACTATTTTTATTATAAGTTGAAAATACTCATTTTGATTATATTGAAAATAATCATTTTTATTTTATATTAATTATTTAATATTCAAAAATTGTACTAAGTATTTACTTATTTTAATTTTTGTTGTGGGCATTAATTTAATCACGTAATGTGTGCATTATAACTAGTTATTTGCATAAAAATTGATATGGAATATTTCCCGTTCATAGCGGTTGTACGATGGTCAGTATCGGGTCCTTTACCCGAGATGAGCACGACCTGGCTTGAACCAACCATATCCTTTACTTATCCTGATCATCTTGGCTACCGAGCTACGGTAATTAGCACGCATGTAGGTCCCTCACCACTCATCACGCACTCAACCTATTCCGGTTGTGGACGAGATAACGACATGGACCCGACATTAAGATGCTTACCCTCATAAATATTAAGGCTCATTTATGAGCCCCTACATAAACTTGTGCATGGGCTCCACGTGCCCTTCATGCCGCAAAGACCGGAACATGTTCCCTCCCTACTATTATAAATATCATATTTATTACTGAGATGACTTTTTGGTTATTTCTAGACACTGACCTTAAATTCGAGAACCTCTTAATCTATAGTGAGTATTCTGAGCCTTTCATTTAAACCATCAAGCCAACTAAGCAAAAGGGCCGAACTCGAGACTGACCTTAGTACCGTATTATATAGTCAGTACCATCTGTATATACTACATCAACAATATAAAAAGAAAAATAAATTTAAGGTGAAAAAAAATAAAGAATTTAATTTGGTCGACTTTTTAAGTTGGACCACGGTCCAACATGGTATAACAAATCGTACATATGTGGATAGTTTAGGTAAATTATTCTGTGGAACCAGGTCCACCTTGTAAGGTAAATTCAATCTAAATGTCTACAATTTACATATTAAATGTCCATAATTTATCTTTTAAAAATTCATAATTTGTATACTAAGAACACACAATGTTAACATATATGTAATTGATTACCTTGTTTTGTATTTACAAGTTTTTTTAAATACTACAGTCACATAATATTAACAGACCATGTATTATATTCACAAATTCTCTTATACATGTGCAATGTGTTTTGACTTAAACACAAATTATATTCTAAAAGTTTACAATTCTAATATTAAAAATACACAATTTATATGCCGTTTAGGACCATGATCCGCCTTGCAAGGTGGACCAGTGGTATAACAACTCGATAGTCTAATACCAATTGTTATGTTGTGGAATCGTGTCTACCATATGTTCAATAATTATGAACATAGAACCGTGTCCACCTTGCAAGGTGGACACGGTTCTATGTTCATAATTATTGAACTATATGTTCATAATTATAAAACTATATATTCATAATTTTTGAACTTCATATTCATAATTATTGAACTCTATATTCACAATTACATAACTCTACGTTGATAATTACTCAACATAGAAGCATACCAACAGCCAACATTTCAGCCTGGACAAAAAGTTAATTGTCATGACTATCTTTTTTGGATTGAATTTATTGGACTAACATGATACCCAACATTTCAGCACATACTTAACGTATAAATTTAAGATATTGTTTAATAAAAAATCAGATTTATACCATTTGAACCCTGTGGCGATGGTAAAGAGGTTAGCATATTTGGCCAAACTTGTTAAAATTTAGTAAAAATATTAATAATTAATTAACATGGAATATTCATAAAATTTATATCAAAATTTATTTGGAAAATACTAAAATGTTATTATAATTGGCAGTATAAATGTATGATGCATCCATGTATAGCTATAAATCCAATAATATGGCTTGTTTCGTTATTAAAAAAATGTTCTATTTAACAACATAGAAGCATTTAGACATTTGTTTGCGCAGATCATGGTTTGCTTTTCTATTAAACTACATCTAATGGCGACTATAAGATGATGGAGTGTGCTGCATACGAGCCTGAGGCTGATCCATCATTTTATCGAAGAATGCAGTTGCAGGAGGATTTTCGTTTTATAAATATGTATGTATGCATCTTCAAATGATCGCTTGGGCCAAAATTGCAGTCCCTTTGTGGTACCAACAGCAAGAAGTACTCTGTGCTCCTTATCATGGAAATTTATAGTGCATATACTGAATGCAACTTCATTGTCGTGAAGTTATCTAAATTGCCATTAACCCCCATTCCAGCATCAACAAAGCACTCCTTTTTAGCATGAGTAATACTACATGTACTCTCACTTTCTACTCCATTTTGTACTCCTTGTTGAAGTGTCATTATTTGATTGGTTTAAAAACAAAGTGGACCACTGTTTTTCTTCATTCACTTGAATTTATTGGTACACGTGGCGGGAGTTTATACTCCATGGGAGTACATATATCATTTTCCTTTTAGCATTTTCACGGTCTTCTGCAGTAAGTGCTCATTGATCACTCTTAATGATTACTGTCAGCTTCTGTTTAGGTTGAAGCACAAATTTCCTTGGGGTATACCTCAAAGGTATAGCTGTTTCATTGAAAATGATGCTACCGGAGTGGATCTCGTTCCTTCACCACCACGGCCACTACCGTCACCGCGACGACGGTGAAGAGAAGCTCGCAAAGTATGCGTCAAAATACTCATCGATTCGATCACGAGAAAATAGAGAAGAATTACGTTTCGGAAAGCGAACTCGCAAGTTCCTAAAGCAGTATCTTGATTGAAGATCATGATTAGGGGGACACTCACACATATGGAGGACCAAAATTGTCCGTGCCACTATAAGTCTAGGACTAAAAATGTCTTTTACTCAACTAAAAAATATGTTAAAATGCAATTATTTTAATTTTTTAGTTTTATATAATTTAATATTATTTGAAATGTAATTGTTTTTCATATAAAATGTTAAATGCAAGTAATAAATACTAATTGTATGAGACAATTATGGCAGGATCAAGTTTGATCCCAAAGCATAGCTCAGGCTATGCCAATCTTCACGATGTCTTGTTTTCTTCTGCCGAGGACTGCATGTGATTCTATTGAGAGACTGATGAATCAGTTTTGGTGGCAGACTGATAGAGCAAATTCGAGGGGAATCCACTGGATGTCTTGGTCTCGGTTGCAGTGCTAAAGTCAGAAGGTGGAATGAGGTTTAAAAGATTAAGGGAATTCAACTTGGCTCTTTTGGCAAAGCAAGGGTGGAGGATTTTGGCTAACCCGCTTTCTCTGGTAAGCAGAATTCTTAAAGCTCGTTACTTTCCATCAGTAAATTTTCTCGATGCACCGTTGGGTCACAACCCTAGTTACATCTGGCGAAGTATCCGAGCCAGTCAGGATCTGTTACGTAAAGGAGTGATGCGTAGAGTGAGTGATGGGAAGGACACTGCGGTTTGGGGCCAGCCTTGGCTTTTAGACATTACGAATCCTTGTCTTCTTACGCATGAAATTGAGGAGCTTAAAGATGCTAGAGTTTCGAACCTTTTGGATGGTAATGGAAGATGGGACGAGGAATTGATAAGAGACATTTTTTATCCACAGGATGTCCCTAGAATCCTAGCTACACCGGTATCTCCAGAGTATGAAGATTCGTGGTGCTGGTTTGGAGATATAAGGGGGGTGTATACGGTTAAACATGGTTAAGAGCTTAACAGAAGGGTCTGTGGGGGCTGGTACAAGTTTAGATTTTAAAGTTTGGAAATCTCTTTGGAGCAGTAAAGTTCCCCCGAAGATCTGCAATTTCATGTGGCGCTGTGTTATGAATGTCCTACCGGTGCGTGAAAATCTAAGAAGTAAGAGAGTGTTTGTTGGTGGTGGTTGCCCGTTGTGTTCGGTGGATATGGAAACGATAACACACATCCTATGTGAATGTCCAGTAGCCATGTGTTTGTGGGACTGCACCGACATCCTGCAAGGGAAAACGTTCGTGCATTTTGTGGAATCAGTTTATGAGAAACCAGATGCACATGATGCAGTGTTGATGGCGACAAGATTCTGGACGTGTTGGCTCGCCCGGAATGACAAGGTGTGGCATGGCAAAACTTGGTCTTCATCAACGCTAAAAGAGAGGGTGACGCAGTTGGTTATACAATGGCAACGGGATGTGCATGTCAATACGGCCACTAACCAGTCATCTAATCCGCCTCCTGCTACCTGGTCGCCACCTCCAAATGGCTTATTGAAATGCAATGTTGACGCAACAGTAGCCGAAAATTTCTGAGGGGCAGGTGCGGTGATTCGTGATCATCATGGTGATTTTGTAGCGACTTATGCATCCCGCCTATCTTGTGGTCGTGACCCGTATATGGCCGAGGCGCTGGCCATAAAGGAGGCTTTAACATGGATTAAGGTTCGGGGTATTACTCAGATTATTATTGAAACTGATTGTTTGAACTTCTGTAACAGTTTTCATTCTTCGTACCTTGACCTATCCTATGTTGGTGTGGTTATTAGGCAATGTGTTGATATTGTCAGGGATATTGGGGATGTTTCAGTCCGCCATATCTTAAGGTCAGCAAATCATGTAGCTCACATGTTAGCACGAGCGACTAATTCTATGTCTGTCCTAGGTGTTTGGGACACAGTCCCTCCACTTTGTATTTCATCGTTGTTTTAATGAAGTTGATTGTGTTTGGTTTTCAAAAAAAAAAAAAAAAAAAGTTTGATCCCAAAACGAATTTCAATATAGAAAATACTACTTGACTTTGAAGATAACTTATATATTTTGTCACATCGATGAACGTAGGAGAATTGTAATGTTATCTAAACATCTGAAAGGTAGAGTAGAGTACATGATATACACGCTAGAGTCCAATACAATATACACATGTAACAATAATATAACACAAGATATATAAGGAGTCCTAATACGCCCCCGCAACTCAAGGTGGTAAAGCAACAACATTGAGTTTGACATGCAAGAATGAGAACCGAGATGAACCAAGAGCCTTTGTGAAAATATTTGTTAGCTGATCTTTAGTGGAAATAAACTGAACCGCTAAGTCCCCTGAAACCACTTTGTCTCGCACAAAATGGTAATCTATCTCCACGTGTTTGGTCCTAGCGTGGAAAACTGGGTTTGGATAGAGATACATGGCCCCCAAATTATCACACCAAAGGCGAGGAGGAGTAGGCAGTTGGAATTTGATTTGCACCCGCCCCCCCCCCACCCCCCCCCCTCGCGCGAGAGAGCCTCGAGCCTCTATGCTATACAATTCTACAAGCTTCAAAAGAGCCGAAACCAACCTCAGTGGTTTCGGCCACCTCTAGTGGCGTATGTTGGAAAATGATTCTGTCGTTTGGCATAACGTAGCCCGCAAGGCCAGCCAATTTCCGGACGACATTCGTGCCCGCAGGTGAGCTCGGGCTTGATTCAAGCCTTTTTCAATCTCTGCTAGTTGGAATTTGATTTGCCCCCCCCCCCCCCCCGGAGGGTGGCCGTATGTTGGAAAATGAGGAAAATGATTCTGTCGTTTGGCATAACTTAGCCCGCAAGGCCAGCCAATTTCCGGATGACATTCGTGCCCGCAGGTGCCGGCGCACACGAGCTCGATTCAAGCCTTTCTCAATCTCTGCTAGTTGGAATTTGATTTGCACCACCCCCCCCCCCCCCCGCACGAGAGAGCCTCTATGCTATACAATTCTACAAGTTTCAAAAGAGCTCTTGTATATAAGGGGGGAAAATCTTCATTCCAAAGCAATGTGGGACAAAAAGCTCACTTTTTTCCTTCATTTTCCAACTCAAATGGGTCTACTTTGAGAATCAATATCTCATTCACCCATTATCCGTTTTGAGCGTACAATATATCAATCTCTTCGTCTCACTACGAAGTATCCGAATCCACTTTGACCTGACCCAAATCGGAGTGGACCCCACTGATAATTGTACCACAAAATAGCCACTTAACATGCCTTTTTATGCCATTTTAAGCTATTTTTTCCAACACAATCTAGTTAAGAGTTTTGGTTTATCTCTGGCTTAGCAATTGTTGTGCTGTGCAAACAAGTTTGAAAGTCTATTAACTCCCCCCCCCCCTCTAGACTTTCACCTTACCTCTTTTGGGACCAACATGTGCCTATTTGACACTTAATTTAGTTCGTGGTGGGAATTGAGCACTTCGCAGTAGTAGATGGGTCTATTTGACACTTCTGCCTTAAATTAATCAATTAGTTAAGTTATGTTTAATCCGATTTAATCTTGTGATCATGTTTAGAACGCCTAGATCATTATACCTATTTATTTTAATGGTTTAATGTCGGTATACAACTTAGTATTTTGAGGGTCCTTGGGCTTGAAGACGGTGATGTAGACGATGAATACGACGATGAGGATGAAGATCAGAAAATAGTGGCGACAATGCAAGAAGCTAAATTTGTATGCCCACTCGGCGCTTTGTTTTATATATATATACTAGTTTTTTACACGCAATTGCGCGATTGGAATAATGCCCAATGCTTTTTTTTTTTTTTTTTTTAAATAAGTACTTTAAAGTATATTAAGGCAGGATTATATTGAAATTGTTCATGCATAGATAATTGAAGGTTGAATTTGCATATTTAAATAGGTAATTCTTCTCCCAAAGGTTGAGCCCCCAATCCCAAGGGCCCCCCATATTCAAGTGCGGCAGTGCGCTTAGGTGCGGCAGTGCGGTTAAATGTAGGTCATTAGATTAGATAAATTCAACGAATCACATTCATCCAGGCTTTTTCGATATTTTCGCGCACGTTCTCACACTACGCGAACTGCAAGGTTAAAGTCGTCATTGGGCACCTGAATAGATCAAATCATAGTGTTGTGTGTTTTATGTTCGTTATTGGTGCATTATTAACCTTACTGTGGTGTATTTGAGGATTCGTGTTGGTGCCAAGTTTAGGTGCGCCCGTGCCTTCCCATGCGGTCAGTGCGGGTGCACTAATAGTTATACAAATATACACCATCCATGTTAGAAAATGCACACCAAAAAAACATGTCACAAATTAGATATGCATCACCAGAACGCACCATTAGGTATGAATAAAAGCACCACACAGTGTTCAGAAATACACCATTGGGGTGGTGAGTTATATGGTGTATTTTTTGAGTGTGTTGTGTGTTTTTTGATGTATTTGTGCATTTCATTGTGGTGCTTTTTCCTAACACTATTGGTGTCTTTTGTTAACACTGTTGGTGTATTCTGACAAGCGGCCAATATAAATGACCACTACAATTACCATAACACCCCCCACTTATTAGGACGCGCTTAAATCTTTAAATCTTCAGAAATTAGCCGCTGCCGTTAGATTAAGCAAAATGGACGATGCTGATATAGCCGCACCGCCGCACCTAAAGCCACTGCCGCATTTGAGCGTTAATATATATATATATATATATATATATATATATATATATATAGGAGTTTACTCATTTACCATTGGATTTAACTCTGTTAATATTACATCTATCTATACTATATATAAAAACAAAATTCTCCATTTTAATTTCCCGCCCAAAAGACTCCTTAAGGTCAATTCCTATTCGTACTACAATTGTACATTTGAAATATGGTAATACAATTCCTAATACAATATATTCTTTCCTACTTTCCTAATACATTTGTAGATTAAAATTACTAATCGTAATAATAATAATAATAATAATAATAATAATAATAATAATAATAATAATAACAATAATTTATACTCTATACTATTTATAAAAGTAAAATCAACGTCTTCAACTTCCCCGCTCAAACTAATATGAATATTAATTAATTAGTAAAAAAAAAAAAAAGTTTAATTGGTAACAAAATTTTGATTATGAAAATTAATTAATATCTAATGAATTGTTATAAGGACATTCATAATAATAATAATAATAATAATAATAATAATAATAATAATAATAATAATAATAATATTATTATTATTATTATTATTATTATTATTGTTGTTGTTGTTGTTGTTGTTGTTGTTATGCAATAATAAAATAAAATATATAATTTATAATAATAATACTACTACTACTAATAATAATAATAATAATAATAATAACAAAAATAATAATAATAAATGAATAATAATAATAATAATAATACAAAGCAAAATAATATATAAAATAAATTTTTTTTTAAAAAAAAACTTAACGTAACTGATGTGGACTAAACTTTGATGCCACATCGTTAATGACTGAAGACGAGCTCAAAGAGATGCTCTATATAAGAGGAACATTGTTCCCTTAATGATTTACGAAACGATTTGCTTGCCAATCACTTCCTAGCAAGCATTGAGAGCCTAAAAGACTTCTTCATTTAAGGAGCCTTTAGTGGCTTCAGTTATAAGTATTTTTTTTTTCTTAATATAATACAAGGACATTTTGCAAAAAAAGTTATTCTTTACCTAAAATGTCAAATTCAAATGCTGCAAAATGTAGCATTTCATTTTTAACTTTTTACTATTAGCGGTTAAATGTTAAAAGACATAATAATAATAATAATAATAATAATAATAATAATAATAATAATAATAATAATAATAATAATAATATATTATTATTATTATTATTATTATTATTATTATTATTACTACGCAATAATAAAATAAAATTTATTATAATATTAATAATAATAACAAAAACAATAATAAAAAATGAATAACAATAATAATAATAATAATAATAATAATAATAATAATAATAATAATCACCATCACCATCACCATCACCATCATCATATATAAAAACAAAGCCCTGCATTTTAACTTCCCGTCCAAAAAACTCATATACTATTAAGGTTTGCGTAATATTGTAAAAACATGATAATACATGGGTTGTTGAATTTTTTTTTTTATAATTATTACAATTAATTTTTTGATTTTATACATACATACATATATATATATATATATATATTATTGAGGACATTATAGTAAATTGATCCATATAACCTAACATATAAACCTTAACCAAACAAGGTAATATTATATAACACAATCCAAACCAAACACATAAGAGTATTCAAAAGAAGTCAAAGAGTTTGACTTTCCTAGAACCTGCTTCATACAGTTGGTGTGTGAATTAGAGTTCAAAATTTATCTAACCCGTGAGTTCAAGATTCATATCATTCTCGGAAAAAAAAATTACTCAATGTCACTACGTGTCAGTTCAAGTTCTCAAACACTGACGTTAAAATCAACTCGGTTGTATTGCTCAGACATTATCCTTTCTAGCCTTCTACGTTGAACGTG